ATACCTAGCCAAAAAAATCATGAACTCAAATTCCAAACAGTTGGACCTATGTCTGAGGGGAGTGATGTACATATCTTATGCACATCTGTCCTCTGCTTATACAAAGTGCACATATGTACCAAAAATCCTTGGAGAACTTTAGTGTGCGTGCAGTTTGAAACAAGTATTCTTCCCCGTTAGCCTCAACTAGTTGACAAATATCCCATTGGAAGTTGTAACTTATTGTCCAAATTCCCAATTTCAAAGAAGCATCATCATCTGTTTTTAAATGATCCCCTTCCGCCTTTTTTTTAGACAGGGAGGGATCAATTTCAATAAAGCTGATTATGGTGGAATCAGTAAAACCCTGCTGCTTATCTATGAAGAAAGAGATCTTACAATTGTGTGGAGTAAGCTCCTCAAATCTAAATCCCTCCTGGAATTTGGGATTGTTGTATTCCCCTCCCTTAACCAAATAATACGCATAATGTTGCTTTCTCTACAGTCAGAAAATTGTGTGAATAAGCAGTGCATATCGTTTAAAGTCTGTAAATCTGGGGGACCTTTTGCCCTGACTGCACAATTTGACAGTGATAACAAATGATCATCCCTAGGAGGGTGAGATAAGCCACTTAAATGGATCCCTTACTTGCGGGAAATCTGCATTAGTTTTCCTGGCACATCAAATGCTTGTGCAATGTGCATTCATCTAGGGATTACTTAAGTGCGTTCTCTTTTACCAAGTTGACAATGCATATAGCTTGCTCTTAAATTGACTAATGTTTGTTACGTCTCTTATGATTTATTCTTTTTCAGTATAATAGCTATTTTTAATGACTTCAAATCTCAATGAGCCATAGATTCTACAAATATCAGTCAACAAGCTTTTAATTAGTTCAGATTATAGAACATGCAAGTTGACCTCAAAAATCTCCAAAATTTTACAGAAAATGCAGTACATCCGGGCACCATTTATAGGGTAATAATAATATTATGATAATAATGTGCATTTATAGAGTGCACATATCCACCATTATTGGTGCTCAAGGCAGCACATCATTATTACCCTGATCAGTGGGCCACTGAAACATCCCAAATACCATCTCAGCTCTCTCGGGAGTATACAGCTTGATGGTACCATTTTTCTGCGCAAAGCAGCTAAAATCAACCACAATAACCATCTCTGCCCCTCACAGGTATCCATTCACCCCTGGGTAGAGTGAAGCTGAAGCAGTGAGTGACGAAGTGCCTTGCCCAAGGGCACACGCACCATGGCCGCAAGCTGGATTCGAACCCATAACCTGCAGAATTACCTGCAGACCATGAATTTAGGATCCACAACAAGTCCCAATTTTTGCATTTATTTTGTGTTCTGACTAGGCTTATCCAGTCAAGGGTGGTACAACTGATAATGTAAAAAGCAATGGATGACATATCACCAACTAATAATGTCACTCAAATTCAAATTGATCAATACTGTATCACTAAGGGATAATGTAACACAAATTTACCAATAGTGAAGTAGAATTGTATTCGCTCGTAACCACCCCCCCCCCCCCCCCCCCCCCCCGCAAACATTGGGCAGGAAAGAGCTGATGAGCTTCACAGAATCTTTTGAAGGAAGTGGGGATGGCATCCTGGGTAATTTATTATGACCTATGTATAAGCATCTGGCTAAAGCTGTTCAAGACCGCAGTTAGCCAATGCGCGCAAGTGATATCCGAAAACTTTATCATAGAAAATGCACACATTCCATACCAGATGTGATTTCTTATTCATTGCGGACCATGTGGACAAATTTTGAGGGAGCCTGAGCAAGTGACGGGAATTGAAAATTTATAACACGCAAGTTTTACAGATTTTCCTATATAAAAATCATTACGCTTTTCAGTTAAAAAAAGCATATATATGAATTGGAACAAAAGAGTAATGAATCAGTCTTGTTCTGGCCTCGGGGAGTGTGGGACGCCCCCTATCCAGTTAGATAACCAGGCACACAAGGAGTAGGTTCAACTTCAAATTTATTCCTTGACATACACATGGTAAACTGTAAAAATAATCAAATAAGGAAAATTACAATAAAAAAGGCGCAAAGGACAAAATTATATAATGATTGACATGGATAATATGAAATAATTTCCCATTACAAAAAAATATGACGACAAGCTAGCAGGTAGATGACAGAGTAACAGACCAGAATGGATCAAATCTACATGAATGTAAGTGTGTCACAAGAAGTACACAAAAATCGCTTCATCCTCAATGACAATAACATTATACTTCTGAAAGGAATATGCAAAGACTTACAGAGCTGTTGTGTCTCCAAATACACATTGTACTGCCAAACCTTTGAGAGGACAAGTCGCATATAGTGAATAACAACCTAGGGAGAATAAGCAACAAGCTACTTTAACAATCAAATCAAATGAACTACAATGCACAAGGACTTAAAAAATCATTTCCCAAAAAATGAATAAGTAGGCACATGTCACTTCATGTCAGAAATCCAAGCCAATTACATGAAAATGTATACAAAGGGGGATATGGCAAAGAGCAACTGCTTATAAACAACATACGAGAACTTGATCTTACACCACACTATGGAATCAAGAAATTTCAAAATCAAACAATGAGAATTAATGCCTACGCTACATGTGAGAATGGAATGAAAACAAACATGGCTGCCCCCAACAGAAATGAGAATTTCACAAAAATCAAGAATAAGTGACAATTGGAAAATCATAAGTTACATAAATGATCAAGCAAATGCAAACAAGCTTACTGGGAATTATGATTAGAGCAGTGAACATATTAATTACCTTGCAAAGATAAAAAAAAAAGACAGAAAAACTTGTAAAAGAACATCGACGTGTTTGGTCGGCTGACGGCTGGCGCACAGAACGCCCGAAACCTCAAGAGGGCGCTGTTGCTACCTAACGGTCGTTCAGTTAACCAAACTGCAAACAGCACAAGTCTTAATGGCCGTTTCAAACCTTGCAGGGCCCTGCATGGTCATGATGACTTGCAGGTCACAGGTCATGCAAAATCTATCCAATCAGAGCGTAAATTCATCAGCCCTTCCCAGCGGACTGTTTGTAGGGTGGTGGGTAGGAGCGAATAGAATGTACTACACTATCAGTTATTTTTTGTTTACATTATCAGTCTTAACCAATAATGTAACAAAAATAGACTGATGGTGTAGTAACTTTTTTACACTGTCCAGCCATATGGTTGCGAAGGGCGATTTCTAAAGGTTATGTAACACTTTATTTTAAATAAAACTACATAGGCATGTTCACGTTGGTTGGTGAAATCTTTGAAAATTAATTTCTCCCGTTTGGAAGACCATATCTTCATGCAACTTTCAGGATTTATTTCCCCTATAATGATCCAAGTATGTGATAAAAATCGTCATATGTTCATTACTTTTCGTTGTAATTGGAAAAGTAGGCCTCGCTACGTGCAATTTTGAAAATTGTAACACTGGCGTGCGCAATATCTATCAATCTTTTCAAACCTTACAAATATTTATGAGGTTCCAATCCATTATGGTGTGCAGTAAACAATTGCATAAAAGACTCCTTCACGGGTAATTAATTAACCAATTTCACCCTTTTTGCCGGCTTCCATTGGTTGATACCGAGTCCCACCCGTCACGCCGAGTGACGCTAATGAATATGCTAATGTGCCTGTCATCATTGCGTGCCAGGCCAAAATCGGTCAGCCATAGCACCTACGGCGCTTTGCTGAACAATGCACATTGGTTGGGTCGGCAAATATTTTTTTGATCGTCTTCGAAATTTTACTTAGATATGGTTCAAAGTGTTACACTGGCGTTTGCAAGAACAGATTAAGCTGAAATTCGGAATACATTTAGATGATATAAAGTGTTCAACTACTCGTGAAATAACAACTGGGGTAAATTCCTAGAAATTGGGATAAAAACATACATTTGAGGAAGTTTTCGAACGATTTCTTCCAGACTTGAAGGTCAGTTTTGACAGTAACCAGAATTGACGTTTCGGCATTGATGACGGCTTTTCTTTTCCACTGACATGAAGTTTAGAATTTCTTCTTCAGTTAGAATGTAACCTTTTAATCATACCGAGCATATTTTCTGAGAAACACAACATTCAAAAGGCCATGTTTTTTGGGCTTCACGAATTTCAATGCTCTGTTACAGCATCTTAGTACGTACTCGGATTGACAACGACCGACGCTTAAATTATACATTATCAGTTGTAACAAAGGGCAATAGATTGACTCTGTGAAAGGAAGGAAATCATTACAATATACAATTTATTGAAAATATTGAAAATAGATTCCGATTAAAAAAATGAGAAATTTTGACCTCTACTTCAGTCGATAACACAGATAACAGTTGGCTAAATTTTAACACGGGAATATGTGACTAGAGTTGTCAGCGTTTGGTACCAAGACATTCACATGGAAAGTGAACATGCACTGGCCAGACTTGCACACTCTGTTGTTGTTAATTGTCATTTTGAGTGAGGCGGTAATCTCATGCATTCCTATTCTTAGAAATCCCATCTCAGTGGGTTTTTTAAGAATATAGTTTCAGCAAAATGTATGAACAAATTTGCATGTTGCAATATTTACTCATCACATAACTGCATGTACATTAATTTTTATTCAAGCACCTTCCTACATCAAATGGGAGTAGGACATTGCATTTGATTCATTTTTTCTTCTTTGTAACATATGTGATGCTGTAAAAGGGTGATTGTCCTGCTTTCTAACTGCAACATGTTGGATTTTAAATACTTTTGCTCTTTTCTTATTTAATATAACTGTATCTTCAGGTTACTAGTGCTTAAAATATTTATGTACATCTGACTCACTTTGTCGCCTTAGGGAAATAAATGTACAAATCAAAGTCCTAAAACACACTCAATTCAGAACTGTGTGTTCCAGGTATTTAAGTATTCAGTTGAGGAAATTAGCAAAATATTTGTGAAGTTTGAATGAAATATATGTCATTTTCTTCTCTCCTCCTGCAGGACATTTCCTTGGGAACAACACTGTCTTAGATCAGCTGAGAGATGAGGGGTTTGAAATTGAGAATGTACCTGCATATGAAGATGTCCGACTGTAAGTTAAATTTTGCTTTTGCTTTAGGCCTATTCTATTTTGAAGTCACCTTTGTAAAGGTCACTTTCATATTCTAATCCATAATTCCCCTTTGCTGTAACATACTGGCTCACAAAACCCCTCATGTGTTAGAAGTTGTGGATTACATATTATTTTTTGACAGATATATATCTATAATTACACTTCAGAATTATGTTTGTTTATTTTCGTCTTTCAGGAAATATGCAATGAGGGCAGAGGAAAGGTTCTATAGAATTAACGGAACTTTTAATGAAACTCATGTATTTTTAGTTTTTGTTAGCTGTTCCAAATTTTAATTGTGAAAAGATTTGTTTTTCTTATTTTGCGGAAAAGCCTTTGTGTTTGTTCTAATTTTTCATTTTTTGGTTTGCCCACAAATGTATGGGAAAGCTTACTTTTTCGGGTTCTCCTTCATTTCAATCTCTTTCTCCTTCTAAATCCCATAGACTTTGTACACACATTTTCTTCCAGCCACTTTTAACACTTTGAATGCTCAGATGTATCAAACTTAACATAAACAAAGCATGTAGCAAAGATGTGCCGCAAAGATGGACATCATGGTGTCATCATGTGTCATGTGACATCTTCAAAAAAGGTGCATGTTTCAACTGCTTATACATCTATATATATAAGAGCAAGTTTTACTCGGCCTCCGAGAAATGTTTGCTCCTGAAAGGATCCGAGACCGCGGTCCCCCGCGGCGCCAAAATCGCTCCACGTCCGTGGAAAAATGCGGAGGGTGTCTTCCACCGGGTCGGACACTTCGGGTCGTCCTAATTTTCCCGTACGGACCGGCTATCCGTTTCGTCGATTTTTCGTGACAGTGTTTTGCACAGGCATTTGCCGTCGTGTGCGCTTTCACGTTGACTGCCTGGCCGCCCCCTGTGCTGGCTTTTCTGCTAGTTTAGACTGTGCGAGGTCAGCAGCTTCAACGTAGGGGTTCCGTTTACGTGTTCGACTTGGCGTTCTACAAAAGTGTTCACCAAACAGTAGTATGGGGTGACCTTGGCAAAATATTTTTTCTCCATGGTGCGAGGCCACCAAGTGTCCCTATTGTTTCCTATGCTTTGCTTGCCGCCCCTGCGCTGAGTGCAACGAATACTCAGAAGGACTACACATTAGTATGCCTTGCGCGGTCTGACCAATCGAAAGTCTACACTGCGTAGTACTTCCCTTGCTTTGCGTAAAACCGTCGATGGCAACGCGTACTGCAGCCTGCTCCACACCCTGAAAACGAGGTTGGGTCTACGGTGCTCGCTATTTGAAGCGCAAGCATGTGACGTGATATAGTGCTCTGTTGCTTCCATCATGACATGTGTTTATAGCTCCATGCTTCCACCAAGGCTGAGCGTTGTGAGTTCGCTGCCACGTCACGGTGTAATTCAGTGTCGTGTTATAATTTCGGGGGCCTGTTTGGGGTCAACAAAGGATCTATGCATTGCTTCAAATATCGCGATCTTAAACGCAGTCACAAAAAATCAACGGAAAGGTGTCCGACCCGGCGGAAGACACCCACATTTTTCCACAGACGTGGCGCCATTTTGGTGTCGCGGGAGACCGCGGTCTCGGATCCTTTCAGGAGCAAACATTTCTCGGAGGCCGAGTAAAACTTGCTCTTATATAGATGGTTGAACCAACTTCAATAAAAGTTAAATCGACTTTGTCCTCACAGAGGACAAAGTCTCGCAAATTGTAAGAAGTTCAAGTTTACGTTTGTTGAAGAGTCCAACACTGAAACTTAATTATGACCTTCCTCCATCATTCAGACCGTTTGTAATTTTATGGTAACACTCAACATTTTCATTTCAAATGACACCTTCACGTTTTATTGCATTATGATTTATTGTCAAAACTGTACAATCAGCCTTCCCCTGTGTACTACGGTAACCTTTTCACTGCGTTTTCCAAATGCGACTGCCTCACAAAATGCCAATTTAACAGACCAACTGGAACATTTACTGACAGTTGCCATGGTACATAATTATCATGTGCGTAAATCGACGGGGGACAGGGGGAACCCACCCCCCCCCCCCCATAAAGCGGGGGACATTGTTTGGTTCCCTCCCCCTTCACTTTTTCTTCCCCGAATAAAAATTGTAGCCTACAATAAGGATGCTATTGCTCAGAATACATGTAGCTGATTCAATTACTCAAAACTCAAAACTTTAACAGATGATCTTTTGCTGAAATTGGTTTTAGTGGTCAGAAATTGCCTCAGATTACACCACAGAAATTATTTTCTATAACTGCATGTCTCCTCAACTATATCCCCCATTTACATTTAACTCCCCACATTTTCATCCCCAACACTACTTCCTACCCGATCTATGATAGGGTAAATCAGCTTGTGTATATATAAATACAAGCTGATTTACCCGATCAAAGATCGGGTATATAGGGCGTAGTGTTGGGGATGACAATGTGGGGAGTTAAAATGTAAACGGGGGTTAGTTGAGAAGACATGCAGTTATAGAAAAGCAATTTTTGTGGTGTGATCTGAGGCAATTTCTGACCACTGAATCCAATTTGAGCAAAAGATCATCTTGTAAACATCATTTTCGAGCTTGGGGTAATTGAATCAGCTACACGGTATTCTGAGCAATAGAATCATTATAGTAGGCTACAATTTTTATTCGGGGAAGAAAAAGTGGGGGGGGGGACCAATCAATGTCCCCTCTTTAAAATGTAGGGGGGGGGGTCCCCTGTTCCCCACCGATTTACGCACATGATAATTATGTACCATGACAACTGTCTGTAAATGTTCCCGTTGGTCTGTTAAATTGGCATTTTGTGAGGCAGTCGCATTGCCGGGAAAACGTAGTGAAAAGGTTACCGTAGTACACAGGCGAAGGCTGATTGTACAGTTTTGACAATAAATCATAATGCAATCAAACGTGAAGTTGTCATTTGCAATGAAAATGTTGAGTGTTACCATAAAATTACAAACGGTCTGAATGATGGAGGGAGGTCATAATTAAGTTTCAGTATTGGACTCTTCAACAAACGTAAACTTGAACTTTTTACAATTTGCGAGACCGTCTGCGAGGACAAAGTCGATTTAACTTTTATTCAAGTTGGTCAACCATCTATATAAGAGCAAGTTTTACTCGGCCTCCGAGCAATGTTTGTTCCTGAAAGGATCCGAGGCCGCGGTCTCCCGCAACGCCAAAATGGCTCCACGTCCATAAAAAATACGGCTGTAGAATTTCTTCCGCCAAATGAAGCACTTCAGGTCGTCCTAATTTTTCCGTACGGACCGGCGATCCATTTTGTCGATTTTTTGTGACTGCGTTCAAGATCGCAACCGCGACGCCAAAATGGTTCCACGTCCATAGAAAGATACGGAGAATTTCTTCCGCTAAATCAAGCACTTCAGGTCGTCCTAATTTTTCCGTACGGACCGGCGATCCGTTTTGTCGATTTTTTGTGACTGCGTTCAAGATCGCAACATTTGAAGCAATGCATCGATCCTTCGTTGATCCCAAACAGGCCCCCAAAATTATAACACGACACTGAATTACACCGTGACGTGGCAGCGAACTCACAACGCTCAGCCTTGATGGAAGAAAAGAGCTAATGGAAGCATGGAGCTGTAAACACATTATGGAATCAACAGCACTCTATCACGCGAAGTCACATGCTTGTGCAATAGCGAGCACCGTAGACCCAACCTCGTTTCCAGGGTGTGGAGCATGCTGCAGTACGCGTTGCCATCGACGGTTTTACGCATAGCCCGGAAGTACTCTGCAGTGTACACTTTCGATTGGTCAGACCGCGCAAGGCATACTAATGTGTAGTCCTTCTGAGTATTCGTGGCGCTCAGCGCAGGGGCGGCAAGCAAAGCATATGAAAGAATAGGGACACTCGGTGGCCACGCACCATGGACAAAAATTATTTTACCAAGGTCACCCCATACAACCGCTAGGTGAACACTTATGCAGAACGGCCAAGTAGAACACGTAAACGGAACCCCTACGTTGAAGCCGCTGACCTCGCACAGTCTAGACACGCAGAAAAGCCAGCACAGGGGGCGGCCAGGCAGTCAACGTGAAAGCGCACACGACGGCAAATTCCTGCGCAAAACGCAGTCACGAAAAATCGACGATACGGATCGCCGGTCCGTATGGGAAAATCAGGAGGACCCGAAGTGTCCGACCCGGTGGAAGACACCCTCCGCATTTTTCCACGGACGTGGAGCGATTTTGGCGCCGCGGGAGCCCGCGGTCTCGGATCCTTTCATGAGCAAACATCGTCTCGGAGGCCGAGTTAAACTCTCTCTTATATATATAGATCAAGAGAACTTCAAGGCCAATTCGGTCATACTCATAGCAATATGCACACAAACGTGACAAATGTCTGATGTCATCATGACATCAAAAATGGGATTTTTTTTTTAACGCATAAAGGAAAGATCCAATTGTCATGAAAATTGGTGGGAAGTTAGAAACTATTGAAAATATTGAAAACAGGAGGTGCCATCATCAATTGCGTTTTTGAATGAATTTCAAAGTTTTAAGATTTCATTCTGTTTACAAAATTTGACACGGTCTTTGATCAGATCGACTCCCAATTTGACACAGACCAAGACCCCATTGTAAGTATGTGCATTGAAAATTGCCGTCATGATGAAGTCATCATTGTAGACTTGTATTCGAGTCACCTCTTCCGAGTCATGCAGTTGGAGTCCGAATAGCGAGTCACTAGTCACAATGGTCAAGTCAAGAGTCATTGCACTTGTATCATCAAGAGCACAATACAGTGGCAGTTCTACGGGGGGGGGGGGGGGGGGGGGTCTTTAGCTAGCCCCCCCCAAAAAAAACAAAATTTCCGTAAAAAAAATGAAAAAATTCCACAAGCAAAATGTAAGAATGTGACGTACATGCAAACGGTCTCCCCTAGCAGTGAGAAGGGTGCATTTGTACACTTTTAGTAATATAGTGTGCCTGATTGTAGGATTTCATCAGCGCTCCCCATTGAAA